TCGGAAGCGTGGGAAGACTATAACCAACGTAGATAGGACATCCTTTCCCCATGATGATTTTTTTTTTTCTTTTTTTACAAATAAGAGTAAGAGTTTTACGAATCAACACATACACGCGCACACAGATCAAAAGGCGCGGTTCTGATAATTGGTAGAAATCTTCTGCGGTCCCTTCGACCCTCCATAAAGAAACGAGCCACGTCGACATCGTGATCCCGTATATACACCTTCGTTTGAAGATTATGCACATTTGACGGTAGCCCGCCACGGGGAAAAACATGGTATATTTATTTTATACGTTCGATACGCGAGGCAGTCATAGTTCTAAAGATGGTGGTTCCAAAGTGGGGTATGAGAGGAGCTCGATGCAGCCTGGGTATCGACGAGATCGCGGGGTGGTAGTCGCCGCAGTCGTACAGTTCAACCAGACGAGGGGGCGACCGCCGCCGGATGTCTTTGCTTTACGCTTTACTTTTATTTATCGCCGTGAAAGACGGAATTCATGGCGGCGGCGGCGCTCTGCTACCCTCGCAGACTTCTCATGAAAGAGGAAAAAAGCTGAAGCTCTCTCCCCCTTCCATCTCGCGTTAAATGATACTCGGTAATTTCATGAGTGGAGGGCGCTGCTTTTTTCTCTGACGAACTCTCCCTACGAACTACACAGCCCTGCGAGAGGTGAAATATTCTGTGCAAATTAGAAATTTTAACGTGTAATTTTTAACTTTATATGGCACTGTATTATCGTGTTTGTATAATTTTATGTATTCTACATTGGTGTCCCTTGCTACGATTTAAAATATTGCTTTTAACATTTATAATAAGAAATTACATAGAACATACGTCTTATATGTACAATTATACATATGACATTGATAATATTCTTGTGCATTTACTTTCTCATAGAAAGATTTCTTTTTCTATTTGTAAATAAATGACTAGATAAATAATCAGATAATCTTATGAGTAAAAGTCGCTACTTTTCTTTGATGAATTCTTCTCATATACAATTCTACGAGAAGCAAAATATTCCGCGTATAGAAAAATTGTTAATATAAAATTGTCATTGTATAATTGTATAGCTGTGTTTTATAATTTTATTTATTATTCATTGCGTTTCTTATACATTAATCCCTTGCCTTACGACTTTCTTTTCCATCTTCGTAGACGAACATTAGTTATTACAATTATAATACGTAGATATACGTAGATATACGTAGATAATACGTAGATATAAGGCATTGAATTTATATTTACTTATGACGTTCTGTTTAAAAAATTTATTCGAATTCAAATTCTATAAGACTACAGTTTGTTTTCTCTCCTAAATCGAAATCATACGTATTTCGTATCACTAATATAATTCGATATTACAAAACAAGAGGTTAAAGGATTATGTCACCTTGAATGTATGAAATTAGAAGAATGAAATGAAAAGAAAATAAATTTTTTTTTCTTTTATAACACTGGTGCAGATGTCTCGTTATAGAAGCATTTTAAGTGACTCTCTTTACAGTGCGATGGCGTAAAATCTACTCCATAGATTATGGACACGCGATTTGAACTAAAAAGAAAAAAATAAAGATTTTTTACATAACATTCTTCGTTTCTGTGAACGTTCTTGTTTGTTATAGATATTTTATGAAGAACTTCCTTACAAAAAATGAGACTTTTTAATAAAAAAAACGCGCAATTTTCACAAAATTCAGTATTTTTTTAAAATTCTACTTACCTAGTTCTTATGTAGAAATTAAAACTTTTAGTAAAAAGTTTAAAACTCTTTTTCCACTTTAGAACTCATCCATATAAGAATTTAAAAAAAAAGAGCTTCAATTTTTCTTCAACTTTTACTTAGTATAATACTATAAATTTTTTATTTACAAAAGATCCTAAAACAAGACAATAATAAAAAGGAAAGTTTATTTTTAGGAAAGTTCCTTTTGTAAATTTTTAAACAATATTACATCTCATACATAAACCTTTCATTGCGCTAACATTTAATATCATCACACTCACACACACACACACACACACACACACAAAATCTATAAATCATTTGTAAGTTATGTAGATCACTAAAGCGATAGATATTACGAAAAGTGAATTGGTCAATTTCAAAAAGCTTTCATGCGAGAATTTTGAAAGAAATTTCTCTCTAATTTTTTCTCGATCCTCAATTTACAAAATTTAATTAAATACACCTCTATTTGAAAATTTTCAAAAACGATGGAAAGGTTGATTTTTTAGAAACGTATTTTCTAGAAATCTTTGAACAATAATTCTCAGTATGTAACTTTACGTTTGATATCGATATATATTGGAACCTATAAATTCGATCTACGTACATAAATCGTTAAATCGGTAGATCTCGTATTAAATCGAGAAAAGTGTATTGATCAATTTTGAAAAGATTTTTGTATGAGAATCTAAAAAGAAATAACTTCAATTTTTTTTTTTTTTTCGATTTCCATAGTATAACAATTAACTTCATGTCTTCATTTAAGGAACAGACAGTTTAAAAAAAGATTTATTCCTTTCTCTGTAAATCTTTGAACAGTAACAAACAATTCTCCGTATCTCAATATAATTTTGCTATAATCGTGACCTATCGACGTATGAATTTAACGATCTATCATAGATCATTAAATCGGCAGATTACATATCAAATCGAGGAGTATTGCTTGGTCTTGAAAAGGGTCGAAATCCTCCTTAATTTTGGGACGTAGATTCGAAAGAAAAGAACGAACGAACGAAGGAAGGGGTTAACTTCTAATTGTTTTGTTAAATGACGCGCGAGTAAGAATCCCTGGGAGGACTTAAGCCCGAAAGCGAGCGCGCCAGCGGCGGTTCGGTTCATTCCGTCTTCTCTCGTTCTTCCTGCTTTCTTTCTCCTCGCTCCTTCCCCTGATTCTTCCTCTCCTCTCTGCCAAGCTTCTCTGCCGCCTTAATTCTTAGCTTTATTCTCTTCTAAGACTCTCTCTTAATTTCTTATTTCTCCCTCCACCGAGCTCCGGCCTGCGTACTATCTTACCTTTTGCAATTTATACTCGAGAAGAAAGAGAGAGAGAGAGAGAGAGAGAGGCCACTGAATGCCAGGCTTAAGCAGACAATACTTCGCTTTCAAACGGCGGCTTCGAAGACCTTTCTTTCGCATTAGATACTTTAATTCTTTAAACGTGTCTTCCCGCCGGCTGAGATACCCTTCACCCGTTGCTGCAAGCTTTTTCTCCAAAATTGTCTCGATCCATGCAAGAGAGATTTATTCTTCACGATATAACGTTCATTTATTAATCTTTACGAAATTAATGGGATCTTAACGATATTAATTTCGTATTTCGAAATGTTCTTCATACGGAAGTTTCATTTTTGAAATAATGTGACATACGTTGCTGTTTGAAAGTATGTGGACACATTTTTTGGAAATTTATGGTATGTGAAGTAGATTATTATTGCTAATTTCTTCTACATATATATGCAAGGTAATTCTTAAATGTATGTTCATATTTCGAATGATGAACATACTAAAATAAATAAAAAACGTTTTTGAGTTATAAATAATTAAAGAAAATGCTCAATTTGTCCGATTTGTGTCTCATCGTCAGTACATGCTATTACACATCGTATTACATTTTAAAAAAACATTAATTAATATTTATATCCACTGATATGAATTAAACAAAATTCAATTCATCAAATTTTTGTTTCTAATGTGATTTAAAAATGTGTTGCACATTCAACTGATTGTCAAATAAATAATGTGCATTTCTAGGAAAGGATTCAAAATTTGAGATTATCGAAGGAATGCCTGAATCAAAGAATTCATGATTTTTGGTACATTTCAGAGTTTCAATATTCTACGTTTTTTTAATAAAGCGTAACTATAAAGACGCGCTGGATTTCACATTTCTCAATATGGAAGATCGGAAGAACATATAAAGAATAAATCCAGAATAAAACGGAAAGAAAAAGTGAGTGTAGCGAAATAGCGAAAATTTAATTTTCTTTTACACATCCATCTTCTTCATTAGTTAGAGTATGTATAGAAATGAAAATATGTATTGTCATGTTATTAAGGAAGCAACGTAAGATTTATTTCTTAGGTTATAGAAGCAGTGATGCATTGAAATGTTACTGAAAGGATGTTACTTAAGGCGGAAACTATCGAATAACCGTCACACGTTAGTGTACGTAGTTGACAATGAGTTGTCGAACCCTTCGGAAATGTCGCTATAACTGACCTAGACCCTAGACCAGATATGAAACTAACAAAGGATGTCTTACAAATGTTTTACAGTCACGAATAAATTTAAGTACATATGCTATGAATCTATTATGAAGAAGACAGTATAATTAAGAACATTACGTATATATTGTTAAAGAAAGTATTGTAAAAAGAAAGAATAATAACAGGTAACTATTGAAACAAGATTTTTTCACATTTCAGTGTTATTAGCATGAAGCGAATAGTGTTATTAATTAAAACAAATTATGATAGAATAACGTTGAAGAGTATTGAGTGTGCAATAAACAAAATAACAATTAACTAAAAATTATCTATGTAACAATGATGTCGACGAAGAACATGTGTGTCTTTCCATTCCGAGTTGCATTCATAGTTTTTGAAGAAGAGAATCAGATAGTGCGAAGTACAAAAAGTATACAACTTCAAGCAATCACTTTTTTATAAACGTAGAAATCATTCGCAAGAAAATTTGTACGAAATTTGTACGATTTTGAGATAGAAACACGTAACTTTACCTTGAACGGTGTAGTTCTATTTTTGCGAACAAATAATTCCTGTTCTATGATCTGTGTAGTGTATCATAGGAACACCGACCAACGTAAACTGCTATAATTATTCGATACCTCTTGACACACCTAATTGGACAACTTGGCCGGTAAATGGTATCAGAAGAGAGCAAGATAGAAGAGAGATAGGAAGAAGTTGGCGGTAAAGGGTAGAAGAGGGAAGAGACGATACTGACCGTCGATTTCTACAGACCATCCATGGACCAACCATCGACTCGTAATGGCCACTTTGAGGGCCCGCCATAAGCTTTCCCAAAGAGACGAACCCTTGCCCTAAGTGGTCTTACACCGACGTTTCGACGAGGTAGATACTTACTTTGCCTATCCGCAATATGACCTAACCTTTTGCTCCGTTCTGCTATCATTCTCTTTCGCCAATCCTTCTCCATCTCCAGTTTACCTTCCCCTTTGCTCCATGCGTCTCCTTCTTTCTCGTCGTCTCGTAGCTTATGCGTTTAATTAATCGGATATCAATTTTCATATTCCCGAATATGATGTGATATAATATCACCTGCATAAACAATTAATCCCAAAATTAAATTCGTACAAGTTATTAACATTTTTACTATTAACCTAAAACTTAACTCAATCGGAGAATTTTGTCGAATTTCTGAAGTTAAAAATAAATAGAATAAAATGAAATTGAAATTAAATTAAAAAAGTGGAAGAGAATATTGAAATTTTATTAAATTCCTGACTAGGGAATTAAAAATGTACAAATCAATTCAAATTGGATCCAGGAAATGTAAATATAATATAATTTATTATTTATAATAATTGAAATTATTATATTAATAAGAAATTGGTAATCTAAGTGGCAATTGATTTTACTAAATTACAAGTTAATCATTACCAAAAGCTAAGTTTTAAAAAATCTTCTAATTCAATTGTTGACAAAATCTATTATATTAATATTTCATAATTATTATAATATCTAGAATAACACTGAAAAATGAAATTATTATATTCCTGTTACGAACTGTTGAATAGATAATGAATAAATCACAAATCGGCATGCTATAATAACAATTTATCACAATGTTCTTTTATTTTAAATAATTTATATTAATGATCATACTGCGAATTTTTATGCATTTATGAAAAATTAAAAGGTACCTGATATTTAAGCATGCAAATATATATCAAATATATAAATACATAAATATAGTGAAGTAAAATATCCTAGACCCAATAACAATAATGAAATGTATAATAAGATATTCTGAAAATAATAGAATCTAAAATAAATGTAATGAAACATATATGTAAGAATGTAATATATAAAATAATATGAGAACAGGTTATTGTATTTAACAAGCAAAATAATTTTTCTCCTAAATCTCGCTCCTTAAACAATATTCATAAAAATACGAATTTATATATCTAAATGTCCACAGTCTAATAATAATAAATAGAACCATGCCAAACATTTGAAAGCAACCTTGAATCATTGCATTGACGAACTGCAGATATTCAGGATGCACAAAGTATAAGTATAGTATGAGATCGATGGTTTTATTATCGCAAAAACCCAATGATACAGGGGTAGCTGAGAGTGGAGGGGGTAACAGAGGAAGATAGAAGAGCAGAAGTCAGGGGGTTCACAGACTAAATGGAGGCACTGCAGAAGCAAGGGTTAACTCAATAGAGTTGTAAGTGAATTACTTATCGCGTATACCCAGTATACAGACTAGATGCGTTTAGCTATAGGTCACGGATACTCGAGCGACTGAATTTCATCGACGTGAATAAACATACGCAACC